ATACACAAAATATCAGCTTAAAATCAATCGAGAAGTCAGTTAAATAAATTGTTGAAAACCACTGCGTTTATGTATATTTTTGCACAATGTTTTTGAATAATTTATTTAATTGACTTCTCGATTAAATTTTAAGCTGATATTTTGTTGACATAATTGCACACTTCATCAAGAACATGTTCACTCAATTTTATCAAAAAAAGTTCACCCGGAAGCACCTCAAACGGGCTTGGTCGTTCGGCACTTCCGGTCAGTCCGGTTGTATGAAAAGATTACTCTCTAAGTTCATATATACTCTTTGCAACTAAGATTCAAACATTAAATGTATGTTTACTAACAGAAATATTTCCAGTTTTCCAAAAAATTGGAAAACTGGAGATAGAAAAATTAGAAAACGTGTTTAGCTAACCATTTTCCAAAATAAAAAACTCGAAACAAGTCTCGGATTTTCCTTCTGAAATGGAAAACCGACTTTTATACGTTTTCTCGTTTTAGAAAACTCGCTGCTACAGTAATATTCATTTATTCGCTCGCCCTCCTCCGCTTAACTTCATGACTCCGCTTTAATTAAGTTTACCTTCCTCCTCCGCTCCAGCATAAAAGTCGGTTGTGAGCTTCGCCAAGGACTGCACCTCTTCTCCAACACGCCACAACTCCAGCTTCGTCCTGAAAACCAAACACTGCACCGCTCCAGCTTAAAATTTTCACTTTTTTTTGTTCAAAATTGATATTTGATTGGAATCCTGAAAACCAATTCAGCTTCTTGAAGCCTGAAAGTCATGGTTAGGCTTCATTTTTTTTAATTTCACTTTTAGCTTCGTTTGGAATCCTTAAAACCAATTCACTTTTAGCTTCAGTTTTTTTTTTTTTTTTTTTTTTAATTTCTGGCAATTTTTGCTGCACTAGTCTATGGTTAGGGCTTATTTGAGTTTGTACTTTATGTAGATACTTTTGTGTTCTTGTTTTGTGCTTTGAGATGTGGAGCCAATGGTCTAATTGATTTGTGATACTTTCTTTGTACTTTTGGTGTTAGTAGTGAAAATTGTGTATGAAAGCTCATAACTTGTCTAAATGTGGAGTCTAAAGCCATCTTAGTTGAAGTGTGTCATTGTCTTGCTGCAATATTTCTCTCGATTAGACAGAACCGTGATGTTGCTGCAGTTGCTAGCGATATGTGCTTTAGCAAATCTTCTTTTGGACCGTGAAGCTTCTGAAAGAGTACTTAGTCACGTCTTATAAAAATCATTACAATTGTGACTGGATTTTCGTAAGAACATGGGTATGTGAAGATACAGTGTAATTTCTTAGCATAGGAATTCATAAATTAATGTTGTGCTTGCAGACTGTATAGACTGAGTGTGTGATTGGTGTTTGTTTTGGTATTAAAATAAAACATAATTGAATTAGATATCTAACTTTAATATTCAAATCAATTGGATATCAGTTGGTAAACTTATGTTGTTAGCACATTACAATTTCCCTACAATGTTGTGGTAGATGAGTTTAACTCAAGAAGAAAAGGATGATGCTATATGACCCGATGAAAAAGAGACTTTGTTTTTACTGTGCTATATGAAAGGGTAAAAAAGACCAAACTCGAGTTTGATATGTCTCACCAACAATAAATGCATGAAATTCGAAAAATATTGATAATGCAATATGGGATGATTATAATGTATGAGATGTTCAAGTACGACTGCTGTTCTGATAAACATAATCTCACTTATTGAACTTTCAGTGTTGCGGAACATTTATGACAAATATTTGTGTTATTTCAAATGTTTGTAATTGTGCATTTCTTTTCTAAATATTTAGTCAACGTTTTTTGGTAAAAATGAAATGAAAAATTGAAAAACTCTGATAAACATGTTTTCTGATTTGGAAAACAAAAAATTGGAAAACGAAAACAGAAAACTGGAGACATAAAGACAGAAAATGAAAACTGAAAATTGTCTCTGTTAGTAAACAACTCTAATATTCTAGCCGACTTGCAAAATGCAAACCCTTGAATTCTTGAATAAAGTTCCGAGCAGGGCCGGTCCTGTATATTTATGGGCCTATGGGCGGAACACTATTCTGGGCCCATATAAAAAACAAACCGTAAATCATGTACTTATCTGAAATATGAATTAGAATAAAAGTATCTAATGAAGTTCATAAAATAAAGGCGAGAATCACTTTTTTATTATTTAAGTTACATATGGGGTGTATGGATCTGCTTCGTCAGGAAACAAAAGTAGAAGTTGGAATGTTTGAATGAAAGTGCAGAAGTACTTCTCGTGCTCTAATTTACTTCTAGAAGCACTTCTTTTAGAAGCTAGGGAGACCAACTTCTAAAAACTGATTCCGATTGTGCTTTAGAAAAGAAGTAGAAGCAAAATCAGTTTCAAGCATCCCCCACATTTGGGCAAAAGTAATAGCACGAGTCTCGAATGGAAAGAAAAAACATTACATAAAACATTTATAGTAGAACAATGTGAAGCAAATCATCAATAATCGCTTCATAGACAACGTTCTTTATACTAATAAATGTGATAAACAATAAAATTGTCACATATAACAGCACGTACTAAACTTTCTTTTGAAAGGATAAACAAATGAAAATAAATATCACTACATATTGATTTCATAAGTTGAGAATGATTTATTGACCGTTGATGGGAGTCTAAAGTTTGAAGTCTCGAAAGAATGAAGGTTTTCAAAGAGACAAAATGTTTGGCCGCCAAGAAGACTCGCGCAAGAAGACTGCCAGATTGACGTCCTCCAAAACTACTATTATGAACCCAGATATAGTTTATTGAAATTTGGAAACAAATACATAATTGAGATGAGATTTTGGAGACACAGGCACTAAAATAATTATATGCATTCGTTATGTTATAATTAAAATGAATAAAAAGCCTTAAAGGGTAAGAGATGTGAAGACTGTAGATGTGTGTCTTTTATTGATGTAGCAACAATTATGTTGCTCTTAAAAACTACAATAGATCATACTTAAAATTAATGTATATATATTTTTTAAAACTTCGCTCTGTATTTATGTTTTAAATTTTAAAATTGTCAACAAAATTAAACATTGGGCCTAATTAATTGAACTTGAGCATAAAAGGAAGCCTACTCACAGAAAAAATTTTGGGCCTATTTTTTCTTCTACTTTTTTCGGGCCTAGGGCGGTCGCCCCTCTTGCCCCCCTCAGAACCGGCCCTGGTTCCGAGTTGAGGTTTTCTAGCCCATGAGTTTACACAAGAGACAGGCACCCCAATAATGCTTATGCGAAATACACATCATTCTATAAGTCATCGTAATATAGCAAGCTGATGTTGATTAGTGTAGAAGATTTGGTACTTCTAATTTAGACGTATATATAAGTGCTTTATAGAAGAAATATAGGACATTAATTCTTGATCTCTAAAATGTTGGTAACGCCATGTGATGTCAATGTTCCTAGTGTTACGTTCCAGTATAATTCTAATTCTCTGAAGACACCGATTCTCTAACTTCATATAGCAGGACTATAAATAAAAACCAAGAACAGCTTCCTTTCATTTGCTAGAACGATCAACGCGACAATACTAATCATGGACCGTGGTTAGAGCATCTTCAATCCATCTCTTTCAAAAGGAAGTAAATTTTGCCAAATGGCAATAGAATAGAGTAATGTTAATCCATGTCATATACAAATTAAAAGAAAGAGATAAAAGGCTCCCAATGCATAATTGTTAACAACTTGAAATAACCACACGTCACTTATTTATTGCCAAATTAAAATAGAACATGTTTCATAAAAACCGTGAAATAAATGGGAAGAATAGGATGAAGCAAAACTGCAAAACACGACTAGTAAAGTAATTAAAATAAAATAGTTGTAGACAAATTCATCTACCGCAATAAGGCATAAAACGGAGAGAAAAACTGATTAAAAAAAATTATGCCAAGTAAAATATACATAATAGAAAATCTAAATTCAAATTAAATGTATGTATATATAATATATATACTCGTATCCTGAGGAATGTTCAGGTCCGAACATTCCCCGTCCGAGCACCGTCCGAACATGGACGTTTGGGCCACTTCCCGGTGGAATTTTTTGATGAAATATTTTGAGCATGTTCTTCATCAAGTCTAGTTTGTCAATACCAAATTTCAGCTCAAAATTCGATTGGGAAGGCATTCAAATCATTTTTTGAAGTTGACCGCGTCAAAATATACATATAAAAACGCAGTCAACTTTAAAAAATGATTTGAATGTCTTTCCGATCGAATTTTGAGCTCAAATTTGGTATGGACAAACTAGACTTGATGAGGAACATGTTTAAAAATTTTCATCAAAAAATTGCACCGGGAAAAACCCCAAACGAGGATGTTCGGACGGAGGATCCTGTCCGAACGTGGGGACCTGATCATTCTTACTCGTATCGTTTCAAAAAATATATATATACTCGTATCACTACAAAAGAACATCGAAATAGGCACGGACTTGGCACGGATTGGGCAAGTTTGGCACGGACTGTAAGTTATTTTTGGCACAGTGCCGTGCCAAATAGCTGGTGACAAAACGACTTTGGCACGGAATTTGGCACAGATTTAACACATCCGTGCCAAATTTGTGCCAAATACCCTACGAATTTTGGTAAATCCGTGCCAAAGCTCCGTGCCAAATTCGTGCCAAAATCATTGTTTTTTTGTAGTGTATATATATATATATATATATATATATATATATTTGAAAAAATTCACATTAATAATCTCAACTATTAGCCATATTCCAATATTAATCCCAAATATGAGTAATATATACTTCCTCCGTTCTCTTTTAATTGCAACAATCAACATTTCACGTTTGCCAACGCACAAGTTTAACCATCAATATCTTTCATTTTTTATTAGTAAAAAAATTAAAAAATTCATAATTTGAAAATGTAGAATGAAAAGAATTTAACAATATTATTTAAAAATTTATTTTATAATACATTAATAAATAAAATGTAGTCAAAGTAGAATATGTGAATAGTGCAAAAAGTCTAATGTTGCAATTAAAAGAGAACGGAGGTAGTATATGCCATCTTCTCAAAATGAACCAAGTAACATGGCAACTTACTAAAGGTAAAAAAAATTAAAAAGAAAAAGAAAAAATTGTTTCTCGCAGATTGGAATGGCCTGGCATCTAAAATGGGAATTGGAGGATGGTGGTTGAGGCCCAATTTTCTTCTTATCCACTACTCCCTGTTCGTATGCGCTAACTTCTTGCAATCTTCTTCTTGCTCGGAGTAGCGCCACAGACCGACAAAAAGGATGGGGCCAATGTGGATATTAGTAGGCGGCTCTGACGGTTATGGCCATCTTCTTCATTTTCTCTCCAAAAAGTAGAAACCCACGGACGTCAGGGAAGAAGAAAGAAAACGGGATTGAAAAATTTGCCGCACTGTTCATCTTCCTCAATTCCTGGTCGCAACTCCAATCACTAGCATTGTTCATCATCTTCCCGTTCCATCTTCATCTTCGTTGGCGATTTCCCTACTGGCCAGAAACCCTTAAAGGAGGGCATCTTCGGACGACGGGAAGGGGATACAGTTGGCGTTCCTACTGGCGACACAGTGAGAATCAAAAGAAGAAGACAAACTATGAAAAAGGAAGAAAAGAAAACGATGGGAAAAACAAATACAACAATACTCTTTGTACACACTATGTGTACACACCTTGTACACTCTATAAAAGGGCTGAATTTTTACCTTTTTGTTTTACCCTTTCTCTTCCCCTGTTCTCTTTGACTCTTCCCGCTACTTCTCTCCTCTCCTCTAAACCCTTGCCCCTTCCGTATAATCTCAGTCTCCCTCTTTCCCTTACCGTCATTCCTTCTTTTCTTTTCACTTTCTTCTGTCTGTTAGGTTGCTTTATCATCATCGCCGGTTAGGTTTCTTTATCATAATCGCTGGTTAAGTTGCTTTGTTCTGGAAATTTGCAATTACTATAACTGCTTTTCTGCCAGCCAAACCTTGTTGCTGCTCGGCTGAGTATCACCAGAGAAATTTCATGGTAAAAAAACTCTTGTATTTTTCTATTGTGAATTTAGGGATTTAGATCTTTTATGTGAAGTGTAATAATTAATGGATTTTCTTTAGCTTTTAATTCTATTTGTATGCTTAATTTTATGTTTGTGAAGTTGTTTATTTACCTACATGCTTTCATTTTTCAATATGTGATGTTGGTTATTGATTTTATAGTTTAAGCATTCTATTCTATTTTCTTGCACATGAAGTGTTTGTGAAAAGGTTGCAATGAATATTTGTTGAATATTCGAAACATGAATATAAAATACCTACCGATACCATCATGCATAACATTCTTTTATTCTTAGTTTTGTGTTATAATGTGCTTTTATATTTAATTGATATTAAATTTATTTTTTCCAGAACATAGAAAGTTCTCATTGAATTATTATGATGGAGGCTGTGAATGAAGGGAAGGATTTCCACATCTCTGTCACCATGCTTCCATTGAGGTCAAAACGGTGGGGGAGGCACATATCTTGCTTCACAATCATTGTGTCTGAACCTACTCAGGGTGAAAGGTGCCATACAAAGAGTTCCCGGGGTCAAATGCAAGGGTCCTCGCAGCCATCATTGCCGGTGCGGCCCTAATGGGGGGGCTCTCATTGATGTGTGGCATTGCATCTGGTCAGCTTGGGAGGAGTCATATGAAATACAATAGATCCAGCAAGGATGTGACCAAAGTTCCCCCAGAGGAAACCCACTGAAGTATCACGTTTGCCCATATAACCTGATGAGTTCTTTTTGTATATTAGATTGGAGCAGCACAAATGAGAATAAGGAGTTTCTAAGTATGATAATAGAAAATATTTTATATCTCCTATAGCTTTCTTTGTTCTTTAATCTTTATTTCAACGTGCTCTATTTTTGTTCTTAATTTTGATTTATGATATTAGAATTATTCATTTAGCTATGTGTGTACATACAAGTTAGTTTTGTCAAGACTCAAGTGTAACAATAAGACTACAAATTTTGTTTGTGTATAATCTTTTGTAAGATAAATTGTATATGACACAAATAAAAAAAATGTTTATACGAACAATATTTGTATATGTCTGAGAAAAATTCACCTTGGCAAATATACTTGATTTTTTTTGTTCCCATACAACTATCATAGTGTAGATATAGTTTATATAGTGTAGATATACTCGATGTACCACACATAGACAGTAGAAACGATCAAAAACAATTATTTTCTATGTACAGACAAAATAAAAGAATATACAGATAATACATCCACAAACAATATAAACGAACGCACAAACAAAATAAACGAATACACAGGCAATATTTTAACCACGCACAAATAATATAAACGAAACGTAAACAATATAAACAAACGCACAAACAATATAAATGAACGCATAGACAATATAGACCAACACACAAACAATATAAACGAGCACATTGACAATATTTTTTTGTGCATAGTCAATGACGGTTTGTATGTACATTTATTTTGTCTGTGCATAGTCAAAGCATTATCCACATTTTCTTGTATATTGTTTGTGGATGGTTAAATTATTGTACAGTTCACCAAAATGAGGATACATAACAATTTATTTTTTCAATCAACTTACAACATGTATTAATAACAAAAACTTCAATTCCTTGGAAAAAATGTGAAGCCATTTTCTTAATACATCAAAACAAACACTTTGGAACACAAAAAGAACTCTAATTACAAAACAAACACATTTTTTCTACAAGTAAATATTGAAATAAAAGGTATACACAACAAACACATTTTTTCTCATAAACATACAACTTTTGTTTAACAGCCTTATCCAAATATTGTTACATAATTCAAAATGGGTATCCAGTTTTTTGTTACATGGATTCATCCTGTAAACTTAACTCTCACATTTATGCTACCTAACTGAGCACTCAATTTTCATGGTTTCTCTCTGTTTCTAATTCAGCATGGAACAAATTGTTTTTTATTTCTTGGGAGCAATCCAGATTTCCATCTTCTATATTGGTTCTTCCCAAATTTCTTGGTTCCCAAATTCAAGCTTCCCAAACTTCTTGGTTCTTCTGAGTTAGAACATTTTTGCTCTAAAAAAATGACATCAATACCTGTGAGGAATATGTATTAAAAAATGCTTGCAAGGAATTCTTTAAAATTCAAACATAAGGAAAAACGTACACACACATATCCACATGTATAACTTGAAAGCTTCCAATTATATTGCAGAGATGGCATTAACAAAGACTAGCAATACTAAATTTCCACAGGCCCTAATAAAGAATGTGCAGGGATACTCAATAAATTGTATAGCTGTGAGATGCATGTCAACCCCTAGTTTCATGTTCTGTTTATTGCCCTATTGGATGATCACATGTGCACCTATTTGGTGGACAATGTATCTAATTCAGCATTGTCCAAAGCACAAGTAAAAATTAAAGTGAATAATTAGACTTCCTCACAACCCTTTTTGTATTGGTCCAATCACCCTTGTCCATGATCTGTTGGTCCCTAAAATCAGACTCCCTCCCTAGCCATACTATATATATGTATTTTCTTTATAAGCAAACATATCTTCGTTTTGTTTTCAGAGAGGAATTGAAATTTCAAGTGCAAAATAAATTTAAAAAATTTACACAAGCAAAAATTAAAGTGAATAATCAGACTACCTCTCAACCCTTCTTTGAATTGGTCCAATCACCCTTGTCCATGTTCCGTTGATCCCTGTAATCAGACTCCCTCCCTAGCCACACTCTATATATGTAGTTTCTTTATAAACAAACATATCTTTTTTTTTTTTTGAGAGAGGATACAGAGATTTCAAGTGCAAAATAAATTTAAGAAACTTACAAAAAGTTGTAAACTAAAAAGCATTACTTATAGCAACTGAACAATTTGGTCGTGCAATTTTTTATATCCAAATAACCTGAAAAATTAAATAAGAGTCAACAAATATAATCTTATTAGAGATATTACAATTCAGCTGAAATCTTAAGAACTCAAATCATAATAAGGAGTAAACAAATATCCATTTTCAGAAAATCAAGTTGTGATTTTATTTCAAAGCTTAAAGTAATTACACACCTGGTTTAGGCTTGAGGAATTCAACTTTTTTTGAAAAGCCTGAAGAATTCAACTATCCTTTACTGGGTGGTCTCTAATTCAACTCTCAAATTCTTTACCAATTGACTGGGTACTTGGGTATAGGGATGGGGAGGTGTGGAGGTGGTGTGTTACGGTGGTGGTGTCGCCGGAAAACGACCGCGACAAAGTGGTGGGGAGACTGGAGAAGAGGACGAGCAAGCTAAGATCTATTTCAGATTAGGGATTTGGGAAAGGAGGGACAAATGAAAAGGGGAATGAGAAAAGGAAATGATGCAGGAAGAATAAAGAGAGGAGGAGAGGCGGATGGTGAGAAGGTGATTTTTCTTTGGGTGAAGGGGTAACTTTTTTGAGTTTATATAGTGTGTATTTGGGTGTGTATAATAGTGTGTACAAAGAGCAAAACTGAAACAAATAATGAAAATCAGTATAAATCCGCCACGTGTTTAGATAACCTGCTGAATTAGGTAATGCAGGTCACCAGTTTATTTTAATAAGATGTCTTACATACTTCAGATTATATTGGAATTACTAATATATGAGATTAATATGAGAAGATAGCTAATAGTTGAGATTATTGATGTGAATCTTTCCATATTTGTATGTATTACGTGTATTTTTGGGAATCATTTTCTCTCCACTATCGGTATAACCGTATGATGCCGGCAAAATAGCAAATGATTGTTCATTTTTGATGAGTCATCATGTTGAACATGCTTTCTAAAACTCCAAATTGGGTTTAACAGCGTCGATTCCACATAGGCTTAACAGGGCACACCAAAGAAGACATTGAAGATAAAAAAAATCTATCACGCTTTCTAAATTCATATGTGGCAAATTTCCCTTCCGTCAAAAGTGAGGGTTGGAGATGCTCTTATGTGTTGTTTTATTTAATGGCAAAACATCAACGAGACAATACTTCAGAAATTCTTATTTATTGTCTACTCCAGCAGTATCTTTTTACTCCAGGAGCGTCTGAGGAAGGGGTCTGATGGGCTCTGGAGTGAACTATACTAAAACTCAATCCATTGAGTTTTGAACCTGATACCTCCCATAAGTGAGTCGGCGACCAGTGTCGGCGACCAGTTGAGCTGAACCGCTTCCTCGTCTACTTTAGGAGTCTAGCTGATGTCCAATCTAACCAAAACAATAAGAGAAAATGGTCAAATAAGGTCTTCTACTATTACGGCGTCATCACATAAGGTCATGTATTCAATAAAGTGTCATGTAAATACACATACTTATAAAAAAGCAATCAGATGAGTCCTGATGACCAGTTGACAACCTCTTAATCACGATTTTAGCTCACATGTCGTTATTTTTATCTTGTATTTAAGTCAATCATAACTAAGTATTTCATGCAATCATATAATCTATTTTAAAAAGATAATCAGACGTACGCTAAATTAGGTATTACGAGGTTGTCAAAAAAGTCATTTTAACTCATTCGATTGCTTTTCATAAGTAGACCATTTATATAACGATTTCGTAATAGTAGAAAACCTTATTTTTCCAAACAATAATAATGTGTGCAAATACTTGTTCCATTGTTACACAAGTTATAGGGATGTACGGAGTATTTACCTACATTCTGGAAGATGTTCTCCATCCGGAACCATAAATTTGTCTTTTCAATCAAATACTCCTTCCGTCCCAAAATTAACTTCTCACTTTCCTTTTCGGACAGTCCCGAAATTAATTTTACACTTAAAAACTTTCCTTATTTGGCAAATAATCTACATAAAAAAAGTGTCAAACAGTGCCAAACAGTGTCAAACAGTGTCCAAACAGTGTCAAAAAGTGCAAAACAGTGCACTCCACAGTAAAGTTAAATTTATTTTCTTAATATGTGTGAAGTCAAACTGAGAAGTTCATTATGGGAGGGAGTAATAAAAAGTAAGCTTGGACTTGTAAGCTTGAACCCCGTTTTTTGTCCTAACGGGCAATTGTGTTTCAAAAAGTCTTGGTGTACATCCTGGGTTACACCCTGGGGTACACCATATATAAACTCATTTTATTTACCGCTTTCTTTACCCCTTTCACTCGCACAGCCCTCCCCAACCTTGCACACGTTTCTTTGTCTTCCCATCCTTCACCCTTGTTCATTCTTTCTTCCCGCCCTTGGCTCTGTTTTTTAATTTTTTTGTTGCAAATATCATGGATGATTTTCTAGCATATTTGATAGGGGATGAACAGGGGACTGGAAACGATGGATCATTGGACGATTCCTGCCTGCGACGGACAACGGGGGTTGGAAATGGAAGAAACGAAGAAGCTCTAACCGTCGGAAATGGTGGACCTGTGAACGAACTAGACGGAGCTGCGACGGAGGACAGAAATGGTGGATTTGTGAACGAAGAAGATGGAGCTCCGGACAAAGTTGGGGATGAAGACTTAAGTGCGACGGGTGGTAGAGCTGCGACACAAGGTGGCAACGAAGTTCTGATCTTTGACGGTCTGGATGATGACAACTTTGACGGGGAAGGAAGCAGCAGGGGGAAGAAGAAAGTAGATGGCGGAGGTATTTTCTTGGACACACACAGACAGTTTAATTACATACTCAGTGTCGGTGTGTACCGACAACTATTGTATCTATGGTTAATGTATACCTACAAATATGAATTAATGTATGTGTGAATGTTGTTAATGTATATCTACAAAGATGTATTTGATGTATGAATGTTGTTAATGTATACCTATAAAAATTGATTTTATCAATGAATGTTGTTAATATATACCTTATAATTTAATGTATACCTACAAAGATGAGTGTTGTATCTATGTACAATGAGTTAATGTATGTATGAATGTTGGTAAGGTATACTTACAAACAAGTCTTTGATGTATGAATTTTGTTAATGTATACCTATGAAAAATGATCTATGAATATTGTTAATATATACCCTACTACAATAATGTATACCTGCAAAGATGACTGTTGTATCTATGAAGGAGTTA